TAACCTGGTCCTCGTACCAGCTTCGTATGAATAGCCGCGATATTGTTTCCAACCTCTTTCACTTTCCATAATATTTCACGCTTATCTCGATTTGAATAATACGTTGACACAGCGAAGTGCTGGTATGGTTAAATGGGGAACAAACCTAATCAAAGCATAAACTCTGTCAGCTGCATGCCTGTTTTCGAATTTGTTGGTAGTTCATCTTAACATTTGAATGCTCCATCGATTACCTTGGCGGAATTCAAACAGTTTGTATACTTTGCTTCAGCACCAGTATCCTTCGAGAAAGTAATTGAGAGAAGTTAAGGTTCCAAATTATGATGCAGTAGACAAGTCACCGGGATCAAGTTTGTGCCCATCCTTACAGGAACTATATAGCGAGGTCGCAGCAATATTCGCCTCTGAGCGTCTCACGTTCGACGTTGAGGTCAGGAAGTAAACCTTTCCCTACAGTTTTTCGCGAATATGCGATTAATATTATTATACATTATGGAGGTCGAAAGAAGTTTTTGGAAGCAAAGGAGCATTGCAGGAAATGGCAAATGCAATAAGGGTCAAGGATTCAAAGACATTTAGTAGAACAGTTCAACAGTTCTGCACTTTGGACAAGGACGCCGATTCAGATGGAGCACTCCACTCACTGATCTCAACATGGCGAGACGAATATGGTGGAACTCTCATTCATCTGGTATGCTACCGTCGTATGCTTCCTTCTTGTCGTTGAACTCTCGCTTTACTTGAACAGACGTTAGCTCGCGACGAGAATACCGAAATAACTTGCTGCGATTTCCGACTTGGTGGCGAGAGGTCCATTCGCGCAAGCGGTTTTCCCGGCGCTTTTCGGTCCGTAGTTATCTCCACCCAGGTGTTAAATAATTAATCAAATTACTCAGTAGTGTGCAAGGTTTTTTTTGAATAAAATGAGCAACGGGGAGATGGAAATCTATGATATTTCCAGGGAAGTAGTACTCATCGCTGCTGATTACTCTCCGCCAGCGCCTGAAAAGCGAGCATCAAATTTTGTTGATTAAGCTACTGTTCTGTAAATATAAACAGGGCACCTGTTTATATCCTCACACAGGATTTTTTGTCTGTCCTTTATTCTATGTTTATAATTCGGCTAACAATGGCTAAATGAAGGCTATTCCTAACAAAGTCTTCTTCGCGTCCCACTACTTGACGCTTTTTTCATCCATCTACGCTCATGTTTCACGTGGACCTTATGGGGCTCTCTCCGCCTCGATTTTGAACTTTCGCATCCATTCTTTGACATTACCTCCCGGGAATGACATGCCTGTTAATTCAGCTCGCAGTGAATATGGGCCGCTGTTTTAGCTGTAGAATCCTCATTTTTTCAATTCAGCGTTCATCCTGGTTACTAAACTTTACATATGTTGCACAGACTCTGTTTGACAGTATGACAGCTGCCTTCATGCCCTGATAAAGTCTAGGATCTGTCTGGCCGCTTCATCAGCCCGCTCCCCCCTCTCCAGGATATGCGTGTGTCAACGGGGATCCGGCGCTAAAGGGAGACTTAATTGGTCCGCCTGGAGGGGCAGGCTCTCGTGAGGTGAGACGTGGCCTGTACTGCACAGGGCTCTGATATACAGCCGCCGTCTCAAGTGTCTATGTGCCTAGCCGTGATACCCGTTATCTCGAGCAGGGGTGTCCCAAGGGGAATGAAATCAATGAAAGCTGTTATACCACAGCTACAGGTCTCTTTGTGATCTCAGTACTGGCGTGAATCTAAATCTAAATGGCGTTTTCAGATTTGTCGCAATATGAAGTGCAATAAAGGTCACGACAGCGATAAACTCATTCGTGCGCTGGTCAGTTGGAATGCTGAACTCTTACGAGTGCAAGACATACTACGCAAACTTCCTATACATCTAGCGGTAGAACAAGGCCAAGCAAGTTTTTTTTTCTCGAATATAGTAATACTATTTCTCGTGAAGGGTTTATGTTGCGCTTATAAGAGCTCTTTTTGTAGGGTTGTCGCGTTGCAACATTACTAGAACTCGGATCGCCGGTCTGCTGGCCGGATTGCAGTAATCGATCACCACTGGATATTGCCTATATGTATGGAAATGGAGTCCTTCTAAAATTGTTGCTGAATTCAGGTGCTACCTTCCATGAACTGATGACGAACGATGAAGAAAGGCAATGGTTGAATTTTTTGTTTTTCAAGACAATAATGTCTTTTTTCTACTGCATTCCATTCCATGGATCGTTTTGTCTACTGTTCGAATTTGAATGCTTTGACCAGTCTCCTCCAATGCGTCGCCTGATACGTGGCCGCTCCAAGGCGCACTTCTTTCCATATTTCCCTTGTTTCCGCCCGACCTACCCTCGACCGTCCATAGTGTGGTTTCCGTAGTAGAATCTTCGGAAACTGAATTCTCTTGTATAAAACTTTGTAAAAGTGATCACAATTGAGGTCTCCATGTAGCGAAATAATGTAAGAATTTCCCGTGAACGATTCCTTTAATTGTTTCATGTTGTTTAGGCTGAGACCACTGAAAGGAGTAACTTTGCCCAAAATACTAACGAGACATTCTACATATCTGGGTGGACTCATGCGTGATGCTCGAAAGAAGATTCTCAGGTGCGAGAGCTCAACTTCCCGATTCAAACATAACTGTTACAAATTTTGTTTATTTATCTACATCGATTTTCTTTGAGCGCGGATATTTTAGAAAAGTTGTGTTGTTCAGAAATTTCCACGAGGTAGCTGTCTTATCGCCAGTGTTCATTACACCACTGAAGGATGGAGTGACGCCTGCGTTCCAGGTGAAGAGCTGTAGTCATTTTTTGAAGGATATGTTGTGGTAGTGCGACATATGACTATTTTCTACAGTTCACTTACAATCCACCAGTTAATAAGTTTCTTGGTGGGAAGCGCAATCCGCTCCTTTTCACATATCTCGCAGTAAATCGTCAACTGGTTAGCAAAATAAGTACGGAGGTAAGTAAATCATTGTATGAAATTCTCCTATTTCTTTGTGGGGATTTTGAGAAATAAAAAATGATTTTCTAGTGGTCGTTTCGCTGTTACGGCCCAATAGATTGTTTCGCTCCGATCCTGAACGGACGCCTTTTGGAGCCAATGCATGGGACGGTACAGCTAGGCGTTCAGACGGCGGAACCGCTCACCGACACTTTTGTTTTCTTCTGTCCTCTGCAGAGAGGAGTGAATGTGTTGGCGTTCAAGCTGGGTGAAGAATACGCGTGAGTTAGGAATTTTTCCTTGGCTTCATAATCAATGCATGGTAGAAAATTACGTTTAAATGCAGCGATCGCAATAATATTCCGACGAAATATTAAAGTAGAGGCAATGAAACGTGAAACTTTGTTTGTTGTCTCTAATTATTACAGCTGACATATGCATGTGGGGAAGGAATGCTAGATTTTTCCGGGAACGATTCCTTTAATTTTTTGGTACTTTTTTCTGTCGTTTCTTAAATTTTTGGCGACGTCGTGGCCGAGATAATGGTTGCCCAAGCAGTCATTCCTGGTTAGAGGTTCGAGAACATAAGATAGTTGGATATGGCTGCTCGATAGGCTGATGAAGGCTGATGAAGTAAGGCTGGCTGATGAACCATAGCTAGGAATGAAACTTGCGGATACCCCCCCCCAAGGCAGAGTCGGCGAACGAGTTGTCGCGCGTAGTGTGCAATGTAGGACGTGCAGTGGGACACTCTATTTACAGTCCACATCTCGAAGTCTGATTGGGCGTGTCACCAGAAATGTCGTGGCAGCCACTGCACTTGGTAGAAGTTGCGTGGATAGGCTGATTCCAACACGCATTGCTGACATCTGGCGGAGTATTGTATCCACACGTCATTTATCAAGAGCCGTGGCTGCCCCGTCATTTCCGTGACAGCGCCCAACAGACTTTGCGAGGATTATTGAACCAGCTCGTATCTCGAAATCTGATGTGCCGGGCGTGGTCACTGGAAGTGACGTGGCCGCCCGTCACCACTTAAGAAATGACGTCGTTGTGGATCAGAATACTCCGCTCGAGATTGATCAGCAAAGCGTATTGGAAGCAGCTTAGGCTGCTTTCGTACTCTGCGGTACGGTCGGTGCGGACGGTGCGGAAAGAGTGAAGGGCGTCAGGACGCGTACTGGCCCATGACGCGTACTTGGCGTAAAGTCGGTGGCTTCCGATCGATAATCGCGAAGTTCGACGCATTCTTCCCATTTTTTAATTTTTTTTTGTGCTGTCTTGCTTTCGTTCGTGTTATTTTTGCTTGAAACTTTTTTGTATGAAATAGTGTCTTTGCTCATTGATGGCCTCGCTTAGGGCTTACCGCTCGTTCAGATGCAAGTGCACAACGCTACTCTTTCAGGGACAACTGAAAAATACCGATTAGGATAAAAAAGAAGTCTAAGCCAAAAACGAACATCGAAATGTGTGAGCGGATAGGGGCGGTACACAAAACATCAAAAAACAAAGGGGGGGAAAACATATTTTATGGCTGAAATTATCCGATCGCAAGCTACTCGACTGTTAGGCCTTAGCACGCGCCATGCTCCAGTTGCACGACGCTCTTACACCCTTCGGTTACATGGCTTTCTGTCAACCAAAGGGTGAGAGCGTAGCTGAGAAAAGCACACACTTTGTGTCTTATTGGGACTAAGCCTTTTGAAGAAGATAAGAAAGAGGAGATGCTGTGATGTGTGCACTTGTGAGAGCTCCCAGCCACATTCACTACAAAACGCTGAACCGGCTAAGGCTCAACGGTTTTGACAGATGTCCTCTCCTGAGACACACCCTCTTCGCACAGACTGTACCGGCGCAAAGTATGAAAACAGCCTTATCCGCGCAACTTCTATCAAGTGCGGTGGCTGCCACCGTCATTTTCCAGTGACACACCCAATTAGATTTCGAGATGTGGACGGTACGCGCGGTGCGCACAGGCGGCTCGCGGGTGGCGGGAGTGAATATCCGCGCGGGAGAGCGTGTCCAAATGGTCAAAATCCTCGACGCGCCGTTGAGAAATCCTCGAGCGTTTTTCACCCTGCTTGTGAGCATGGTTTTAAACATCGTTCTGGTTGCATGCTTTCGATTACAGTACTGCTGAAATGCGAGATAGCTTTTTAGGAACACGCGAATTATGTTTGCGGCCCAAGTAGTAATGGTGGGAGATGGCACTGCCAACCCTTACTCGTGCGTGAGGTTGTCTGCACCTGCGGCACTAACGGACTACCCGTGATCTTTGTTCGCTATGGTCGTTAACACGCTTGAATTATAGTTAAAGAGAGGAGTTACGATAAATTGTAGGTCACAGCAGTTGGAATGTATTCGCTTTCAAGAGAGACAGGTCCTTACAGGGGGGCGGAGCGAGGGTCATAGTGCTGAGGGCCGCCCATAGCAGCTTAACGAAGTGTACAATTAGCTTCGCTGTCCATGCCAAGCGATTGGATGACTATCCCCCTGCATGTAGTTGGACTCTGGCTGTTTTAGCATAGAGGCAGAGCAGATTTCAGTCCACTCCCCTTATTATCTGTTAACAACAGCACTTCTTAACAAGTCGACTTCATTCTCCAATTTATCGTAACACCTGCCTTTAAGTGTCTCAGCCTGTTATCCTCGCCCCCTATGTTATCGTGCCTGTTATCCCCATGAAGTGTTATTTTTGCCCATTTTCAGGATCTATTTTGGCTTTTTTCGTTTTACAGAGATTTGATTCCTTTCTGAGGGAGTTGAATTTCGTAGAGATCAGTAAGTAGACTGTTTTTACTTCTATTTGTTACCAAACTTTCATTGTGATCTTGAACTTAACGGCTAACTAATTAACTCTCAGTCGGCTGTAGATATAATAACGTTACACCCTTGTCTGTACATAGAAATGTATTTCTCGAAGATTTTGTTGTTGTTAAGTTTGAATATAATCTACAGAAAATATATTTAGGTGGAGTGTTTGTGTCCAGAGGAGCTTTCCTTTCGGTGACTTTTCAATTTTTTCTTGTTTGAGTTTTTCAACTGATTACGCGTTTTGACTGCCCATGGAACGTTGAATTGAATCTAGGTACATAAATCGATAGAAACCTGTGATGATGATTACAAATGTGAAGACCAAATGTGCTACGTGTCTGTGAAGGGAGTCGTTAGCGACCAAATTGGTCCCAAGTTCGATTCTCCGTGGTGGCAAATTTTGGATTCTAGGTTGGCGTTTCCAGATTGGTGACAAATGGCGCCTGAGTCAAGAATAGTTGTCATCGCCGTAATCAGGATCCCTTGCAAATGAACCTTCAAATATCGGTACACCAACACTGCATTAACAGTCAACTTTAATCGCTCACAATTTTCTCGGCAAGATCGCGTAGCAGTTTTGCTTTTTCATATTTGTAATCAACATTCTAGGCTCTATCGCTTTACCTATGTCTTATTTCAAAGGTGCATGGAAACTTGAAACACCTTTCTGGTTCTAACTGTTCATATTTCTCTTCCTGACATTCCGCTCTCACAATTCTTTGGTTTTAATGCTTTCATTTCAAAGATGGGACGATTCTTGGCAGCGACTACGTCGGCAAGGAAAGGTTGCGCGCCTGACTCAGAGGTAACTTCCGAATATTTCGGTCTAGATATCAGAGAGTTGCTGCGAGATTCTTGTTCTAACAAGCTCGCCGCTGGCGCGGGGGAGTACAACTTGTCGATTTCTCCTTCTGGAAAAAAAGGATAACAGGACTGAGAGTTGGAAGAGGCCATCGAGGTGTCCGCGCTTCAGAATGTTGGAGCAGAGTCGGAGAGAAGGCGTAGTGTTTATTCTTGGCCTATTTTTCATTTGTGGTTGCAATTTTTTTTTCCCCGCGCTAAAACTTATGGAGTTTTGTTCTCTTAATGATCTTTTCGAATTTTTTTTTTCGGAGACATCCAAAAATCTCGTGTAAGTGAAATTTTTGCGGTGCTAAAAAAGTCAGACCTTCCGTACCAATGCACCTCCATGCTCTTTATAATTGATTCCGAGAAGCACCGGTTCGATCTTTTCCCTGAAGTAATTTTTTGGCTTGTAATTTGATAAATTTACAGCGTTTAGCACTATCAACTACAGAGATGCGCCACGTATGCGCCTGTGGCTCGAGGTCTTGGCGATTAGGGCGTGCTTTGGCAGTTCTCTCTATATTTCTGACGTCCTACAAATTTCCTGGAAATTGTGTGTTTTAGATGCTGAAGCAATGTCGATATTTCAATTTCAATCACACATTGTATCTGGAAACTGGATGTTCTGAACACCCTGGGAAACGGTATTAGAATTTTTGATAAGCAGTACGACGTAACGGTCGACCCCTTGCTTCCAACTGGCTCCTCTTTCCTTATTATTTGATTATATGAAAGTCTATACTGCTCACGTAACCTTGATATATGTGAGTTCTTACTCATTTTGGTGACTTTTACCAGTCACTCGATCGCATCATAGTGTTTTACGGAAGCATTGCAAAGGAAATGCCCGAAGCTTCACCGCAGGTACAAAAATTACTCTCTGAAAAAGGACATAAAGACATTGTTTCCACAAACAACTTAGCTATTATATAGGAAAATTCAATTAAAATTGGTCGAAATAAATCATACAAGCATTCACCAAGACATCAATAATTATCAACAATTAAAACATCGAACATGCGTGTGAAACAAATTTAATATCATTACATATCATAAGTCTCACAGAGTGATACCACTAGAAATCAGAAAAATCTAACGTAAGTCAGAAAAATCTAGTCATTGTTCTCTGCATTCCCGATGGCAAGCTCAGTCGCATTAATGACCACGGATGGAAGAGGCGACGTATGTGGTAGAGGGGGGGAGAGGAGAAGGGAAGAGGTGAAGCTCAGCCGGCTCGTGGTGTGGACGCGAGCGGCGATTGCTTGGTGACATCAAATTGACGTCATCGATTTTGCTCGCGAAGCCAAGTAACAAGCAGTGACCAGTGTCGTTCCACTTTATCCTAAACAGTTGAGAGTTTTCGCTCTACACCAACTACTTGAATCAGTTGTGTCGCGAGCGAAATGATTTTATGACATACAGTACCGTGCTCGCCCGCTTGCCTTATGGTTAGGGAGGTTTTTATTTGTAAACCCTTAAGAGTAGACATCAAGTTGGAATTGGTTAAAACAAATCCCTTCTTCGAGTCTGATTCCGACTTACCCATCTGCCTTCCGAGAACCAGATGCTCGTCGAGTGCAGACCACACACCACAAGTGACGACGGCCTCCAAGTAAATCTGGTTAGTAGTGGTTCATAGTGATAGCTGATAGTTGGTAAATGATAGTTGTAATTAGTGACAACTGATAGAATACAACTGCAACAGGCTAATCATTTCATGGCAGAAAACATTTACATTTTGTGGAGGCCGTCGTCACTTGTGTTGTGTGGTCTGCACTCAGACGAGCATCTAGTTTTTGGAAACACGCTATATCTTTACTGATCACCCAGTGAAGCGAGAGTGCGATGGATTTTGGGAGAACTTTCTGTGTGAAAGTAGTTTTGGCGCTGGCCCATGCTCGTTCTCTCGCTGTGACGTCACCCACACCCAACCGCGCCCCCAACCGCCGGTAAGATTTTCCATAGAGCAATCGTTCAGGGTTTCTCCTATGCATTTTCCCAAATCACAGCGAGCGCTGGCACAATCAATGATCTGTCCAGAACCGACGTCATAAAGTGACAAACAAAGAAGGTAATTAATTACTGAGGATAAAAAAGTAAAATCACTTTGTTCCTTCAAAAAGAGCAGCTATTTCCTTGAACGCTGTCGTGAGACGTCTCCGAAATCGAGCCGAGTCCTGAAGCGCGTATACCTAGTTGCTCGAAATGTACACGGAACTGTTCAGTTAACAAACCGTATTTTCAGCTGATTTATAGCTGGTGATGTGAGCAAAAATACTGTGGTTTCCTCCAAATCGATAGCATATACCTTGAAATAATCATAGTTAAACAATCGGTAGCGCTAATTTTGATTCTATATTTATCATGATCGTTATACCACATCGTTGCTCAAGCTTACCATAGCCTTCTTTCGCCACAGCTCCGAAACAAGCGCCGTTCCATGTCCTCCAAGGCTCACTGTCTTCATCTATCTGGTTGGTCACATTGGGTACCTAGAAAGGAAGTTTGTTCCTTCAAGGTTGTTTGTCTTCTTCATGTCAAATATCACTGTTTTATGACAAGTTGACATGTGCCAGTGCACGATGTAGCGATTCCTTCGCTTCGTGTACGTAAGACCTGCGTGGAGACGTGGCGTAGAGGGGGGGGGAGGCAGGGAAGACTCGCAATAGAAGGGCGGATGCTATGACTAGTTACTATCCTTTAGTTAATTGTAAAAATATACCACCAGGTCGGCACTTGAAAGGACTCCTTTTTAAAAGTTACTGAAAACATTCAGTCGTAAGAAAATGTGGGATCTCTTCGAGCACGGTGAGACCGTTGATGCTGTTTGTGACAATGTCTCTTCCGAAATGTTTCTCGATAGGTAGAAGCAAACCGTAGTTCGCTATCGTCAGAGTCTTCACGATACAGGCCATTCTTCATCGCATGACATGCTCGAAGGACCTCATCATAATTGCTTCAATTTCAAGAAGCTGCATGATTTTGTCAATTGTTCACAGGTGGATTAATTCCTACAATCCGTGACCCTGCGTACGCAGGACCCTCGCCCCTGCAGTTCACACGATTTCGCTATTGTCGAATGCAAGTGCACCGAATGTTTCAAGATCTGACTAACCCCAAAGTGTGGGCAGCGGTCCGATTGAGTACATAACCTGTCCTCCGACCACTCAATTTCTAAGTTGAAGAAGCTCAGGAAGACTGTATGAAAATGAAGACATCGAAAAACTTGCTGAGCTCAAATGTCTTCATGGCAGATCCTTGTGCTATCACCTTGGTAGAAGACTGTATCGAAGTTTCACGTAGACTGGAAACTTCTATACGAAGCGACCGCGAGGGCCCCAAAGAAGAGGTGGAGAGACGTGATCAAGAAGGACCTAAGTGAAGTCATGGCCACAGCAGAAGATGCCCTGGACAGAGCGAAGTGGCGACGACTGACAAAGACAGCGGACCCTGCGACTGCGCGGGACTAACGCTAGGGAGAAGAAGAAGAAGAAGAAACTTCTCTTCTTCCCACCTTTAAGCACCCAATTTATGCGTTGCAGTACGTCCCTTTTTTCACTCCTTTTCAAAACATTATCGCTGCACAGCTTGTACTACGCTGAATAGACTGAATAGAAGTGTTCACAGGTTGCTAACAGGCCAGCAAATTCACTCATAATTCGAATGGAGTGGCAAATGACGACCATCGTTCAAGCGCACGCCGTGTACTCGGTACAGGTTAGTTTTTCTTTTCTCCATTCCCCAGCGGTACAGCACACAAGAAATACATCTCGCAGAAAAAAATGAATTGTAGCGGATAAAAGGAAACTCACATGTGAAGTGGATAGAAGCCATGGTTGCGAGATATAGTGATCTAGGAAAGGACTAGAAATATGCGTTCCCTGAGAAAGAACATACAACACGAACAAATGTCGATCAACTCCACGGCCTACCTGAAAAAGGTCATCATTATGAAGGGAAACACTTAATCTTTGATGTTTTCTATGATATTCACCAACTAATTGGATGCAATTTCCTAAGGTAACAGGTAACTAAATGGTTAAGGCTGGAGTCAAGCATGGCATCGAGAGAAAAACCTATACATCTATCTAGAAAAGCAAAAAAAAATTTATAATTATTCTCCTGAGCTGACTACTCCAACACAATTCCCCTAATCCAGCGTAGAATCCCCAGCGCATATTTGACTCTTGAGACACAGCCGTTGTTGTTGTTTTCAAGGAGCAGAAGGCCATGATGAGTGGTGCTAATGCTTGCTCGTCTACATTCGATGCTATCGGAATCCCCTGCAGAAGTGGGACTGAATATAAGAATGTGATCAAATAGTGGAGATTCTACTTGAACGGAGCCATAATGATGAATATCGCCATTATATAGGCTACATTTTCTTCGTCTGAACAATAACTATCAGTTCAGTTCTCATTTCATTCGTAAGTTTTTGAAAAAACCCTCTCTGCAACTGTGCCTTCATCCCAGGCTTCATTTGTTCGCTTACCTACTCCGGAATCCCCTGCTCCCTCGAAGGCGTCCTAGGGCTCTCACCTTTTTGCTTGGATTTGGAGGCGAGCCACGCCGTTCTCTAATCGTCTGTGTTCTGGCCTTTTGCGGCTAGAACACCGGGAAGTTCAGTAGCTACGTAATCGCAATTCACGCCTTTGTCCGCTGTCGACTGCCACGCTAGCGTCGCAAGAAGAGCACGGCCGCGGTTGCGACAGCGTTAGCATTGCGGCTCGTCATTGGCACTGGAGCAAATGAAGCTAGCCGCTCGTGAAACTCGTTCCAACACGCGCCTCCTTGATCCCAATTTGGAATACGGCTAAAAGAGAGGGGTGCCCTGTTCAGGACATAATCGAGGGTTTCTCCTGCTTTCTTTTCTTTTCCAGACCAATCCCTACCTTCAGCTTCAATACTAACGCTCTTACACATCAATCTTTCCCGAATCTGTTTTTAAATATGCTGCCGTCTTAGACTCAGACTTTTGTCAGTGAATCGCTCAATTCGCAAAGTCGGCCTAATACGCTGCTGATTCAAATGAGTCTCATTTTTGACCACAAGATCCTATGCGATTGTCCAGAAATAGCCTCACTTTCTTTCTCTAGTGTATATCTTTCTTTATTCGGGCCTAACGCGTTCACATTCTTTGAAATTTCAAGGGCAACCTCAGAATTCGACGCACTTAGCAAAGAAGTAAACAATTTCTGTAGTCTTTCACTCTTGAGTAAACATGTTCCTTAGCTCAAACTCACAGAGGCGAAATAGTGTCATGCCGTGTGAACTCACCATGGCCTCTTTGTTATTATTCGTATGAACAGCGCACGCCTTTCGTAGTTTGGCAATCTTCTCTTCCTTCTAAAAATGAATTTTCACGACCGGAAAAGTACCATGAAAGAGCAAGCATACCGTTGCGCGTTCATTTAGCATGGCGTAGACAAATTCACAAGACTCATCGGTAACCGAGCGTAAGGTTTCAGTCCGAGAGTTCTTGTAGAAACGAGCGGATGCTGCCTCGTAGGTGAGAACAAAACGATCCTGATCCTACAAAAAGATCAGCTGTAGCTTGAACGAAGTATCAGTTGCCGTCCATATGAATCCTCTTGGTTTTCCCACCCTATAGTTTGCCAACTGAATTGCCATCTGTACAAATGCATCCGGGGAAAGTCCACATTTCTTGATGAGACCTTTTCCGAAATCTCTGAAATTAAAGGATGAAGGTGCGGGTAAGGAGATCCACTCGCGATGTGTTTAGGTTAGTTGACTTGACCAGCTGCAACGCTTTCATTAGGGTAATTAGGTCCATTATGTATATTTTAGGGTGCGATTCCGGAACTATTAAAATAGTCCATAATCTCAGGGAAAAGATAAGAAAGCAATAAGAAAGCAAAGAAGTGGAAAGGAAAAGGATCATGGTATGTCTGGATTTGGGCTTGAAGGGACAGGGCACCCGACAGAAGACCGTCGCGGCGACAGAACGCCGGTCGGTCAAGCGCGGGTTAGGCGACGGTCGCAGCGCGTACTGTAACGATTTAGCTTCAAGTTACCATGATTACATTCTAGTTAATAGAATGTACCCTATTACATCTCACATCGCAGAGTACGCGCTTCGAATTGTCCGCTGACCCGCCTCCGTCTCCGCCTCCCCCTCTTGACGGGCCTCCTGTCGGGTATACGAAGGGATACGGTACTCTTTATTGCTGTGCCATTCACGCGACGTCGCTCTCGCTAGTGTTGCCGCGGAGTGGATTTTCTGAGCCGTACCAAGTGGATAACATAGTGGAAGCTATCGAAATAAACAACAGGTGTTGGCCTTAAGGCAGGGTTGGGGATCGCGTTGGTGTGTTATTTTGTTCGAAAACTTGACAGGAAGTGAGATAAGGAACGTCAGTGGGAGGAAAAAGGCAAAAGGCGCCAAAGAAACCACAAAGATTTTCCTTTTGAAGTCGGCCTTTGGCATGAGGAGACATACAGTGCTGCGAGGAGAAGGAAAACGCGAGGGACCATGTCGGACACGAAAGGGCGCAGATGCCACGTATGCCGCGATTGATAAGGATGGCAGCACGGGGGCAGGTCAACCCTACATCGTGTTACTATTGCGAAACAATATTTTACGGACCCCCCTCCGCTCCCTCTGAAACCAGTAAAAATTTTCCCACAATTCCCTAAATTTTCAACCAATTTGCCCAATTTCTCCCTATAATCTCACTGTTTCCTTTTCTAGGGGGGTATATACGCCGGCTGAAACGGCAAATTTTTATCTTGCGCGCCCTCTACTCGCACAACCTACTACCCACGAAATCTTAGTTTCTCCTCAATCCCACACGTGATTTCGAGCGACTAAAGTGGGTACGACCCCCCCTCCTACAAACTCAACCAGGTACGACCCCCCGTTGTTACTCGTAACAACGTAGGGTTGACCCTGCCCCGGCACACAGGCTGGGATCTTTGGTGAAAGTGTTGCGGCGCTTCTTGCGTTCGGGACCCCCCCCCCGCTCCAGTGTAAGATTCTCAGTATAAGATGGACTGGCTCCGGAACCTAATCACGATTCCTAGCTTCAGCTTACATGTGAAAACACAAAGAGTACGTGAATTTTCTACCTGAATGATGTGGCGGCGACGTCCAGGTCGTCACGCGACTTCGAATACTCGGAATAGCTGCTTTCTATAGCAGAAGCCATCTGAGTAAAATAGTTTCCTTTATTGATGCTGTGAATGCATTTAGCCGTAATATTATAACCTAATATTAGGTCAACTCATTCAAACATGTCCAGACATCTAGAGAAATGGTGGGAAAAGTAAAAGAGCTAGAGCATTCTACTTGCTTTTGCTTTTAAGCTAGCACACCCAGCTACGGTATACTCTAATTTAGTTTATAGTGCTGCAGGAGGAAACACTTAAACACATAAAAGAATTCATAGTGACCCAAATCGAGGTGGAATTTCCAGATGACTGGTGACACACGTGCAAATTCGCAACTCGAATTCTGTGTGTGCTGGCTCAACTTACGCGTGATACAGTGTTCTCGAAGTGCTACGTTGAAGATATGGTGTGAGAGCTCAAAGAAGGGAGAACGGAAGCGAGTTGTGGTTGAGGACGCGTTCATTGTCCACCTTCCCCAAGAAGAGCGGGTGGATGAAATGAGGTTTCAAATGGCGCATCACAGATGTTGAACCTTTGCGATGTTTGCCCACGAGACTTGCAGTCTAGCTGCACCTGTTACGCAAATTGTGCCCAAAAATTGGGGATGGTCCACAGAACATGTTTTTGGATATCCATTTACTCCCAGATGCAGGAGTCCAGAATCGAATTGGTGTCTGTAGCAATGATTTTCTCTGCCGATAACGGCATTTAAGACTATCAAACTGGACCCTGCTCATAAACGAAATTTGTGTGTAATTGTACGCTGAGGCCAAAGTCAGAAGTGTCAACTTTGGATTAACGCGAATGAGGAACTGCCCGAATTGGATCACGAGAAGTCACGTGGGTTCACGTGGATGATTATTATGGCGATGGATTTCTGAGGTGTGCCTCTTAAATGGCTCTGTCGGGAAAAAACCTCCGGCGTTTCTCAAGTTTATGGCTTGTTTCTTAGCGAACAAATTGACAAAGGAATAGCAGTATAAAACTACAATAACGATATCATCACCTATGTCGATACCAGACCCTACATAGCTCATATTGCTCACGGGTATTTCGATCAAACGGATATTGTGGCCTCTTCTTATCAGCTGTATTTTCCCAACTGCAGCCATGCGACCTCAGCTGTTTTATCGAACTGAACGCCCTACTCGTTCGGAAGCGCTACGACAATTCGTTGATCATCTATACTGACATCAAAAGCATCTTGTCTATACTTGTTGAAATGAAGAAGCTGCGCGGTGTCCAGTGTTTTCTAGACGCTGGGATCGGGTCGTTAACAACGACAAGATCTGCTTGACTTCACACCAAAGTATTAGCTTTTTATCTTTCCTGCTGTTCATTTTATTCGAATAAAACCGTGGACATGTTTGAATGAGATGACCTAATATTCGTGGTCCATGATCGGATTAGAAGGTAGTCACTTCATCGATTTGAATGCATCTCACCTCCGAATTGACTTCAACAGGCAATCGAACTGCAAGTTTAACGTCTCGGTCATTTTCAGTTATTTTTTCGATTTTTCGTTGCTCCTCCAGAGGGGGATATCTAGAATTGGATAGGATAAATGAGCACCTTCCTAGAGCTGCCAAGAAAAAATTTAACACTGACGGTGTAAGTATCTCGAACGCAGTGAAGTTCTCCATAATGTGGTCGAACTCTGCTCCATCTGCGATCGAGTGCTCCGATGTTCCACCGCACTAAATTCAAGCAGTTGTGATGAGTGAAAGTGATACTGCAAGTGTTGCGGACATTTCGAAAAGGCTAGAAATAGATTTGAGAGAGAAAAGCTTGACGTAAAATCCGCAAAAAAAGAAAGAAAAGAAAAAGTGGAGAAAGAAGATGAGAGCGCGCAAACTGCTAAGATTAAAGGCGCACCCTATAAGGAGTTCAGATGAATTTATCTATTTGGTGAGCAGGTTGTCTTCGATATCCCGTCTCATGGCTCGAAAATGCGCTACAGGGACGATAGGGCTTAGCGGCCGGCTCAACCGCTTTCACTTTTTCTCATTCGCAACATGTTGCTGTCTGCGCCTCTCAATCAATGTGCCCTCTCGAATCTCTTCTCTTCGTCTTGCTCACTGTCTCATTGTCTTAGCAAAAATTACAGAAACCGGGAAGCCCTTGATTGTCAGCTCAGCGTTATCGAACGGGTCCATTTCTTTTTTCACTGGCTCTCTTGGGGCCTCTACCTCCAATTTCCTGTGCAAAATTACACCAGTTGGGTCATAAGGTGTGCTTTGAAGGGTCCGTTTCCAAACTCAATCCGAGTTGCATGTTCTACAATACGATAGCTCCAGTAGCGAATGTCGAGTTCTTGACGTCACTTGCCGTGTTCGTCACGCACTGAGTCTTACACTGACCACACTGGATTCATTCAACCTCAACCTAGAGTTAATTTTCATCTGAATTTAACGCAACTAATATTTTATATAAAACAAAACAATACGTCTATCAGGTGAACGCATATACAGTCTGGTTTCGTGTTGTCAACGGATAGTGACTAGGCAAATTTACTGCACTGAAGCACTACCACATTGCAATGGAATTAAGAAAGAAATAGAGAGAGAAAGTAAAAGAGGTGAGCAGCCAATCACATCGCTGTTGACCAGCTAGTATATTTGTCCAAGTTCTGGTATAGCTTGGTCCACCTGAGCAATCCACCTACGGTATGCTCGACCTTGCTACATTGCCATAAATGGTTACAAGGTTTTGAAGAGAAGACAAGTGCTTCGAAAGAAATGAGATTCGTCGGATTTCTCGGGATTTTTCCATCTAAAACTTACTCGTGAGTTTCTTCCGACCACATAATTCAGCGATTTGTCTGCCCAGCGATTCGCACCATTACCAGTTAGCATATTTTTCAGAAAATGTGACATAGTATCTGGATCCTTCTGAAAATGTTCATATCAGTTCGTATGAGATTTCGCACTAAATTGGGACAAACTTACTGGATCGGTGAAGTATTCGGCATCATCGAGTGTTAGCATAAAGGCGGCCGACTCGATCTCGCGCAATGTTGCCGCATTCGTCGGATTTTTCAAGAAAAACTTCTCTCTATTCCGAGCCCACTCGTCTCTGAAAGAAATGATAAAACTACAACAGATATCATAAATCTACTACAGACTTAAAGGCAGAGGTTACGATGAAAAGGCAGCAGCTGGAAATAAGGTAAGAGGTGGTCAGTGGTCCCGCTATGGAGGAAAATCATGAAAAACGACCCAGAATCTGAGGAATGGGGCGCATTCTTTTCCAGTTGGTTTCCGCATCGATGCGACTCTCATCGGTGCTATCCTCTTTGGGCTTAGGGGCCAATGCCACGTCCCTCTGTTAAACGCTAGAGTAGTACACGCAGAAGGCAGCGTAGCGTGCAAACGGAGCGGAGCCGGTTATTTCGGCCGGCCTGCTGAGTACCACTAGGGGCAATTCTTCCCTGCAAAAACCGCTTCCGCCACCTTAGAGCGTCGTCTGGCCTTCCACTGAAGTCTATTTTATCTTCTTCCTCAACCTCTAGCTTGATTGTACAATTCTCCTTAGAGTGAGACGTGGACAAAAAAGAGATGGACTTTAAAAATCCCCAAATTCCTTTCGGGATCAAAGTATAAGTAGCTCACTCACCTACGTGCAGCGGTAAGTGCGGCCACTCGGCTAGCGGCTCCCGTGACCTTTTCATTCCGAGAAAAAATCTCTGCATAAATTCTGAAATTCTTTAGATGTACTCATTCTTACGTTTAAAGGAATCTTCCGCGGAAAAAGCTCCGCCTCCATTACCCAGAAAACGATACCCCTTAGGCCCCTAGCCTCATGAGCATAGCAAAAAGAACGGAACATAAGCGTTAGTTTCGATAATACTAATCCTACACACAAGACAAAATGATCACTCTTTCCGTGGAAGATTCCTTTAATAGAGAAAAACAGAGCGAGACTCACTTTGTTAATTCCTCAATACTATACATTCGATTTCTCTCATCACATAGCATAACTTTGTAGAACATTCCGTTGTAAATAGCAACAACGTGTTTCGCGATACCTGCAGAGCTACTATCACACGGGTATCTTGCGATTATTTATTTCTTAGAGGACACACCGTAATTGACTAATTCGTCCATTTCTTCACCAGGAACTCGGCATACGCTGTATAACTTGTCGTAGTGGCGTGAGCACAGTAGGCCCGATCCCAGCTAATTTTAACAAAATTAATACACTAATAAATAAACAAGAATTTTTTTCTCAGCATCGCATTTTAGCGGCAACATCAACAGTAATAATCTGCTCTGTTCCGAGAGAACTATCATCGTAACGATAATATAATCGACAAAGACAAGTCCCGCTTGCCCGGTTAGTAAACCACTTTAAAGGTCCCACGATGGATTCAGGTCGGGCAAGCTCGCTCGCTCGCTAATGGGGTCGAAAAAGCAAAAACGCGCGCTGTCATGTGTTAATGGCGGGAACAAGCAATCAGAAGACGGCTCAGCCCATTACGGCCCATTAAGGTAGAGGGGGTCAGTGGTGTCGGGATGAATACGAAAACTATAAGAAACGGCTCAGAACTTGAGAAATGGAACCATTCCTTACGTGTTGTGCGACTTAGATCAAAAGCTGCCTCTTACAACCCTTAACGCTCCGCTAAACGGCCGAGGACCTGGAGCGCAATGGTAGCCAGTCGACCTGAGCATAAGCTCGCTTAGCGCCATGGGAGACCATGGGTAGATCGGCCGGGGCAAACCCTCGCTGCGGATTTGCGTGTCGGTCCGCACCTTCAGCGAGTCCTCTTGTCTTTCCACTAGGTGAATTTCCCCTTCTTCGACCTTCGACCTTATCGTTGGATCCCCCTGTACTGTTATGAACACTGCCTTATGATTAGACTATTGAAGTTATCTGTTCAGTGGATGGAGTTGTTTGCGAAGGTTCCGATGCCCCGCTCACGCAAATTGAAAGTGGAAGCCAGGGGTCTCTTGCCAACCGTCTCGAGCGGTCATAAGTGTCACTCCTATCGCCCTGTATGCATCGACCGTGTATCTGTGCCCAGTCACATACAACGTGCTCTTTCGTTTTCTCGCTTACTGTCTCTTTGTCGTACCATGGCAGATTTTGCAGATACTTCAGCACATTGGGGACAGCGTGGCAGTCATGTATGCCGCACTCATTTTGCTCATTTATTTCGCTCAGACGCAATTTTTGGAAGCCTTTTTGTGTTCGTTACATACACTATTATAGGAACTTAATTACGGTGCGACGTGGTCCACAAATTGCTTTAATATGTGTTTCCTTGCAGAAGTTTTTTGAACATTACAAAATTTCTTATTTGGTTTTTGCTTAGTTTTTTTTTTACAAAACACTGTGGATAAGAAGAAAATTATTAGGTACAAGCTCACCGGTTTAAGCGACTGCCTGTCAACGGCAAGCTGAGACATTCCTTCAAAATATGTAACTCGAGCGGCCATGTAAGCCCAAGTAGACCTTCGATTCTCGGGGACTTCTAGAAAATCCATGTGGGCTACACTGCTGTTGATCAAGAGTGGCTGTCTGAACGAGGTAACTCTAACGATTTCCGGCACATCGCTGCATGTCTCTGTCTTGCGCACGACCTCTAGAACTAGCTAGTTCTTCATACCTGCTATAGAGGTATGCGTACTTTTCCCAAAATGCCGTGATATAGTTGGACGTTGTGAACGACATGAACCATGCGTAGAGCTGAAGGCGAGGGCCCTCGTTCTTTAGGAATGATTCTGCTTGCTCTTTCAATGAATCAAACTGGTCCTGAAACAGAAAGGAACCGTTGAGGCTACTACCAGACCAATTCAGTACATATAAACACACAACATGGCTGCACCTTACCTTCCTAAGAATCCTCTTCATCGATGTCAAATATCTGGTTACGGTGTCTTCAAGGTTTGGTACGCTAGGGCTTGGAAGAAGGCTATCGCAGGACTTGAGAAGAGGAGGAGACACGGTTAGCAGTTGACGGCAAAGCTAAAAGGAAGTACAATCTGGAATATGGGCTGTAATTTTTCAAATGACTCACGCCCCAAAAAGCGAGGACAGTGAACAGTTTCTTCTGATCAATTCGAACAAAAGCCTTTGTATCGAAAAATAGATGAACGGCTTCAGAAATTGTAGTAGTAAAAATAGCAGGGACATTAGTGCCACCAATTGAAAAGCTACGCATACTTTGGTTCACTTGAAATGTGATATTAAATATCATTTCCTTTTCACAAATAATTTAATGAAATTGAACTCGCAGATCGATTTGTAAGATTGAAGAACTACACAACGGTTCAGTTGAACATCCTCACTTGTATGGCATCCGATCGAATGCCGCTCCCAGCCAAGGTAAATACAGCTCGGGCCATAGCGATTATCCAAAGAGCCTAAAGCGATTTTTCTGTCATTTATTCGGTAGTTCCAACCCGTCCAAGGTTCCTATGTTTGGAAAAAAAATGAGATTTCCTGCTGAATTTCCAGTACGGCGCTTCACTTACTAGCAGAATAATTTTGAAGAAAAAAAACCAAAAAAAATCAAATAGAGCATCACGTAATTTAAACTGGAACAAAGTGACAGCTTCAACGGAACATATTTCGCCTGCCAGCGAACCGAAAGTTACATGGTTTCCAGCTTACTTTATCAAGTATTGCTTGTATATAGTTTGGATGACGTCAAGTAATTTGTACAAGTGCTGCGGTTCTGACCAGAAGTGGCATGTTTCAGGGTACGCTTCTGAGCATTGTTTGTCGGCGATGAAAACACGACCGCGATTCATGCCATTCCTTCCAGTTTCTATAGCATTGCCGACAACGGTATCGGTCACAATATTGCTCTTCGACGAAAACAAGTCATGGGTCAGTTTCAGCGCACGTCACAACTTGCCCTGCAACCTGTTTCCCTACCCTGTAACCTCTCCCAGCAGATGCTGCGGAGCCATCCGCACGTGCTCATCTTGAATAGCTTAACCACCTTTAGGAGTAGCTGTGAGTTTAATGAGGTGCTGTGTTACAGTAATGTGGAGCAACAATCGAAACATCTCATCAGACAAAAATAAATAACTTTTCAAAAGCTATTACTGCTTCTCCTAGTTGGGGCGGAAGTGGTGTAGTGGCAAGTGGCACGCTTACCACGCGAGCGGTCCGGGGATCAAATCCTGGGTCGTGAGTCGCCCGGGCCAACCAAGCCTTCCATCCCTCCGGGGTCGGTTAATTGGTACCAGACTTGTCTGGGAGGATAAAAACACTGACTTGTACATCGGCTGGCCCCCGCAAGTCATTGTATAGGCCACATCGCATTCAAACGCCACTACGAATGTACAAATGGAAGTAGAATGCGTGCCGCATCCCAAAAAGGGATTGATCAACGGCAAATGCTTTATCCTTTATCCTTTTAAAATTGTATTAAGTAGCTTTCTCCTACCCATACCATTTCCTATATCCCATATACTCCATATATAAAGGCATCAATTAGTGGAAAGCAGCAAAGAAAGTTCCTTAGCTTTCCAGATGAGTTTGATTTTGGCAAATAAATGGTCTGCATTTTTTTCTATTCAATTTTGAACTATACGAAAGGATTGCACAGTAGACGAAGGTAAACATTCGCCAACCAGGTAAACAAACAACTGCTGCTTTCAGCTACACGTGTGCGCATAATGGATTGAGAAAAACCGCAGAAAATCAATTTCATAATGTCATTCTGTTCTTGTTTACTTTGAAAGTTGTCACGAAAACTCGACGACGTCACTAACAAGGGATTCGGAGCGAATCCCTGGAACAATCACTCTAACTTCTGAATCTTTCACTCCATGAACCCAGACGGAAAATGCTTTACCGAAAACATATGCATATGCATACGTGCCATGCATAGCGAACAGGCAACAGGTTATTTGCAATGAAGGCCTACTCGTCCTGTTCCACTAACAACGAGCGGTAAACATCTCGACAAAAAATTACTGTACTATGACCCTTACAAATTAGAAGTGTTACAAGTAATGAAACCCGTTGTAAGACAGAATGGATTGTATATTTCGTGATTTAGACAAACTGGAAGCAAATAATCTTCATAGTACTGCCGCAAACCGCTATTAACAGCGATTGTTTCAGCTCCCGGATTTGAAGCTCCCAGATCCCTGTCATTCTCCATTCGTCACATTTTTAAAGCTGTTTGAGAAATCATAGCTATAAATTACCGTGATTCGTAGCAACCAAAGGATGTTCCAGTCCCGAGTTTAGACTATGTCCTCTCCTCTTACGGACTTATGTTAGACGCAGAAGGTACGATGAATTGACATCCGCTGTGAAAAAATAAAAAATACAATAAAAAATAAAATCTGCGTGCGGCTTGAACTCAATCCCTTTTTTGGACATTCGGGCATTCTACCTTCCATATGAGCATTCATAGTGGCGATTCGGACTCCGCGAGTGGCTTATACAATGATTTTTGCATGGCCAAGCCGATGCCGCGCCCAGCAATCCGGCCCCCCCCAACGGGGGACCGCGCGGTGTTTTTATCCCCGCAAGACGTAAGTACGCACATTAACTCGACCGTTTATTTATAGGTTATCTCATAATTCCTGTCGCATTTCTATTCAATTTCAAATTCCTTCCGTCTAAGACCGTTTCATTGCGAAATACGTTAGTATGTTGAAGTGTGCTTCAAGTGCCTTAACAGCGTGGTTTCGGAAGCGTAATCCCTTGACCGGTTAATCAACTCATATATGAAACTGAGTTCAGTGCTGACTGCAATCAATGATTATGCTTTACGATCCTCAAATGAACTCTGTAGCAAGGAGGACAACAGAGAAGATCAGCGCTGTGTTTGACTCAGTCTCTGCTACTGATAGGGTACTGAGCTAGTGGACCAATCGCAACGGCAAAGACGAAACGAGCTATGAACTTCAACCTCATACTGGGCCTGCGGTCATTTTTGATGAGCGCCCCTTGCACCCTAAATTGGGAGTGCCTCCGCACGTTGCTACCAGGTATTGTAGCAGATACCTGAGCGCAGCCGATGCACCAGCACTGGCCATCAGTATGGCAAGGACTGCTGCAGAGTGAAGTTTTGATGGAAACCTTATGGTCCGGCCGACCATGAGCGGGAAGCACGCCTGATCACCTGGGGAAAACCCATTCTTGGATGGCAAAAGCAGAGTCTTCCCTAATCGGTCACCAGGTGGAAATGAGTCAAGAGTCCACGACGACAACATGCGGTCAGCTCAAGATGGGTGCACTTCGCTACAGAAGCACCAGCTCAACCAAAGCCCGAACTCCGTTTTCTGAGAATATCGATCTCGTTTTATTGGATTCGCTAGGTGGCCTGGTTTGGGAACCACTTCAATGTATGAAGACAAGCATTGCTGAAGTCAGCGCGGAATAGCCCTCTTGGCTGGCTTTGGGGTTGCGAGAGAATCGTCAGAAACGTCTCAGATCCTCCTTCCTCCGAATGTACACCAGACCTCACATTGCAATGCCAACTCACCACGTTCTGAGGGAAACACAGCCAGGTCCACGATACCTCATCCACCATATAGCATTGGCATCGCTCTATCGGACTATCGCCTCCCCTGCGCTTTGAATAAGCATCTGCCAGAGAAGAAAGTTAAAGATTGCGGTCACCCCAAAAACGACTTCTCCAAATTCTTCAACCCCCAGTTTCCTTCATTCTGGGCTGGAAGCTTCCAAACGCCCACTAGTAAATGCACGCATATCAGTGACCATGATGGTGGTTATGCTATTAGTCAGTTGTTCTCCTCAGAAGAGAATAAAACATCGTATAAACAAAGAGGGGGTCTGTCGAAATGCGACAGTAAAATTATCGAAACAGCCCATAATAAATGCGATCCAGAGCATACCGCACCACAATATACTTTCATAATTTCACAATCCTGACAATGAGAGCCGAATGCATGGCGCACCTTAATAAGGCTTTTTAGTGCTAACCATTTCAGCATGCCTGTCCTACATTCCGCAGATTTTTACGTCGGTCGAGATTCCAAGTCACGTGAAGAAATGAGTTCGAGGTACTAGAAACTGATCCGTTCGGGTCAAAAGTGTGTCAGCCGTGCGCAAATCGCAGTGAAAGTGGAAATCTTATTGCAGAAAATAGCCTGCATTTATAGTACAGAGTAGAGATTTAATCTATAAATATGTAAACCGAAAAAAGATCAACAAATTGGGCAATTAATAAACCAAAAGGAAAAGAATAAGGAAGAAAGAGGAAAATAAAAATGCCAAAATGCAATTGAAAGGTGAGGGTTGCTGAATAACTCACATAAGCCTGGTAACATGCTCTTCGGAATGGTGTCGGAAAGGATTTCTGAAGTGGAAATGGCTTCACTAGCGGTCCGACCACGCCATTTGAATCATTCGACATTCCAATAGACTCCTCAGGGTCGAGGTTATCACTCGGGACAGCTCAAGTTCTCACCGGACGGTCCAAGTCTAGAGCGATTAGTGATAAACGTAGATATGATATCGGGATGTAACCAATTGCTCCTATCTATGAATCAATAAGTCAACCAAGAACGAACTGTCGGAAGCGAGACTGCACAATAGAGAGGAGGGGCCGCCGGCCCGCCCGTCCTCGTCCCAGAAACAAGTCACCAGTCACGGGTCAGTATTGCGTCGAGACTTCATCAGACTTAATAGATTCCGAGGAGCTATCGCAAGATACGGGGGCATCACCTAAGACCAAGCCTAGGAGGGGACAGGAACTCGGGGAAAAGAAAACTGCTTGTACCCTGGAGTGCCTCCTCCCGCCCCTAAGGCTTAGTCCCGTTTTTTGAAAAGGAGATGTTTTACGCGGTCACAAATGCGCTGCCACCGCAATGCCCCTGTATCTTGTGATAGCGCTGATTCTGATTCAGGAAATGCTCTGGGGTGTATTTCGAGACATTGCTCTGTCTGATATCCGCTAAGCTGCCGTTAAAACCTCCCAATCGGCAGAAAAAGCCTCAAAACTGGTCGGTTTCTCAGGTTTCTGGCCCTCTGCCCCATGAACTGCCCGTTCCCAGGCTTCGTTCCTATATTTTATAGTTTCGGGGCAGAAAACGACATGGAGCGCCATTAAGTTGCCGCGAGAACGCTCACTCATTCAAGTGTCCGAAGTAAAGTAAACCCATTCATATGTGATAAATGCTTGCTAGCGGAGAGCAGAGCCAGCGTGCTGGCTCTCTGCCGAGATCGATATGAACCTGCAATGCAGAGGATTTATTTTTGCGCTGAATGGAGCGCTAAACATGTCAGTAAACAACTTGAAGAAAAGCAGTGAAACACTAAGCGGATATGCGCCACGCAATTGACATGTTTGGAATTTACTTTGTTCAACTGCGCAATGTACATACATAATGATGGCCCGAAAAAAGGTTTCATTCTTAGATTTTAAGCCCAAATAATCGAAATTCTTTGAATACTGATTAGATACTTCACCCTCGAGAGAAATCAGCGAGGTAACTGGCATTCGGACAACCAACTCTCAGTTACGCCTAGGCCTCCTCTTTCTGTTCATAGGCATTACCCCCCCCCATGGACGTGTTCCTCTCAAGCTCTTTACTTCCGGGTCGCCGCCTCAGTCGCGTGGGTACTACTGGTTCTGATCACTCTCTCTTACCTTTGTGATAATCTACATTCGAGCTCTACATATTGTTCAAGCGTGGCACTGCACATGGACGTATAAATTATATTGGGTTGTCTCATAATTACTGTCGCAATTTCGACACTTTTGTTTATTCAAGTTTTATCTCTTCTGGGAAACAACTGACTAATAGCATAACCACCATCATGGTCACTGATATGCGTGCATTTACTAGTGGGCGTTTGGAAGCTTCCAGCCCAGAATGAAGGAAACTGGGGGTTGAAGAATTTGGAGAAGTCGTTTTTGGGGTGACCGCAATCTTTAACTTTCTTCTCTGGCAGATGCTTATTCAAAGCGCAGGGGAGGCGATAGTCCGATAGAGCGATGCCAATGCTATATGGTGGATGAGGTATCGTGGCCCTGGCTATCTCCCTCAGAACGTGGTGAGTTGGCATTGCAATGTGAGGTCTGGTGTACATTCGGAGGAAGGAGGATCTGAGACGTTTCTGACGATTCTCTCGCAACCCCAAAGCCAGCCAAGAGGGCTATTCCGCGCTGACTTTAGCAATGCTTGTCTTCATACATTGAAGTGGTTCCCAAACCAGGCCACCTAGCGAATCCAATAAAACGAGAGCGATATTCTCAGAAAACGGAGTTCGGGCTTTGGTTGAGCTGGTGCTTCCTGGCTGCGAGGCAGCCATAAGACGTGCCGCATGTTGTTGTCGCAGTGGACTCATGACTCATTTCCACCGGTGACCGATTAGGGAAGACTCTGCTTTTGCCATCCAAGAATGGGTTTTCCCCAGGTGATCAGGCGTGCTTCCCGCTCATGGTCGGCCGGACCATAAGGTTTCCATCAAAACTTCACTCTGCAGCAGTCCTTGCCATACTGATGGCCAGTGCTGGTGCATCGGCTGCGCTCAGGTATCTGCTACAATACCCTGGTAGCAACGTGCGGAGGCACTCCCAATTTAGGGTGCAAGGGGCGCTCATCAAAAATGACCGCAGGCCCAGTATGAGGTTGAAGTTCATAGCTCGTTTCGTCTTTGCCGTTGCGATTGGTCCACTAGCTCAGTACCCTATCAGTAGCAGAGACTGAGTCAAACACAGCGCTGATCTTCTCTGTTGTCCTCCTTGCTACAGAGTTCATTTGAGGATCGTAAAGCATAATCATTGATTGCAGTCACTGACCTATTTTTATTACTAGTTGATTAACCCGTTAAGGGCTTGCGCTTCCGAAACCATGCTGTTAAGGCTCTTGAAGCATACTTCAACATACTAACGTATTTCGCAATGAAACGGTCTTAGACGGAAGGAATTTGAAATTGAATAGAAATGCGACAGTAATTATGAGACAACCCAATAAATAAGTAATAATAATGAATAAGCAACAGTTTGCATTCGACAGCGTAACTTCTCAACAGCCTTTAGCACGAACGACGTCGAAGTCTCTGCTCAAAGACGACACATTGTAGGGCTCCCGGAACGCCTTCGCGATAAGAGAGAGCTTCGTTTTGTGATGACCAGGCAGAAGCGCGCTCGACAAGCGTGTTTCTGTTTATCGAGCGAAGAATTTGCGTTCACTATTTTAGCCAGAAATATCGACTTGTTTCGTTCACCCCTGACCTAACGTAAAACACGGTATTAGTCCTAATGCAGAGGTGCGCTTTCTGACCCGACCCCCCCCATAATAGAAGGCGTTTTGTAGCTCAGCGGATACCCAATTATCACTTTTCATCGGAGACAAATCGCACTCAAATAGACTTGCCTCGACGAAATTCCTTATGAGCTTGCCCGGCACTTTTCTGTTTAGAATGCATTTGCTCCAAGCTGTCTCTTTACGCCACCTTGGACTAGCAAACCCCTTCCTGACGAGCTGGTTTTTGTGATTTACTTAAGGGTAGCGAGCAACCTCTCAGAGCACTTTTCTCAAAACCCCCTTCTTTGTTGCTTATTCATCCTCACGACGATGTTGTCGGGAGAAAGCAAAAATTCGGTTGTCGTGAGCTATTCCTTACGACGACAAATTCTTTCTTTCTTTTTTCTCTTTCTTCTCTCTCTCCTTCCTTTCCCACTATCGTCCTGTCTTCTCTCTCTCTCCTTCCCTCCACCCCCCCCCCCCCTCCTCCTTCCCCACTATCGTACCACACAATCCAGGTCGAGTCGTTTTCGAGCAGTTTGCTGACACAGAATATTTTCGAAATTTCACCCTAATCACCAACAACGGGAGCTTACTGAAGGCATGCATATGGCACTATTTCTTTTCCTACACAGTTCCTAGAAAGCACTCATGGTGGCTGCTGGGCCTCCTGATGGGGCCTGCTTCTCCTGAGTGGCTTCAAAAAGTCAACGGTCAACAAAGTATTGAGAAACTGATTTATGCTCGATTCCTTATGGTGACAAAATGTGCATTCTTGGATTTCCATTCAGGCATTCCTGTAGACGCTTGGGAAATTGTACCGTATTTTGGCGCTCTAGCATGAGCTCTCATAACATATAGAGAAACGTTTTGAAAAATTCTTCACTTCTTCAAATTCTCAAAAGACCTCCCTGATAGGCGGTGCTCGTTTTGATTCATGTCAGAGCCACATTTCAAGTTTTTATGGCTGTTTAAACAAATAGGTGGTTCCGGCTTGATGATTGCAGCTCTGCGTCACTGGTGAACTTTACTTTGTACCTTGGCTTTTGGAAGCCCATTTCACCACCAACAACCAGTCCCGTTGCTAGAGTGTAGTCATCTCTCGGCAATTCAAACTATCTCTCTAGTTCGTTGTCTTGATCGAAGGTCAACACTCGGAGCGGTGGTTTCTTTCGCACGGATACGTGTGGATCTCACGTTCTCACGAACTCGATCCCTAATAGCGGTTCACAGAGCACTTCCTGTGCAGTACATGGAGCTGTCAAATCGACATCTAATTCGCTAATTGAATTACCAAGTCGGTAAAATAACACGGTTGTGAAGGAAACCTAATAGAGTGTAGTAAAAACGGCACATTTTCTTGTCAACATAGAGGCGGTTTCTAACAATCTGGGAATAAAGAGGTGATAGAGAAGAGAGCAGCTGAACAGAGAAATGTATAGAAATGAAGCGGGAGAAGAAGGAATAACCCAACCTACACGGTTACGTAAAGAGTGGCAAGAAAAGGGGAAGCGAGCTGACAGGTGAAGGTTCGTATGTTGAAGTGGCTATTTGAAACGATGCGAATTTTGCGATGCTTTCCCGAACGCTGACCTCAAATCTCTATTCTGCTAGAGGATCCTGCGAACAATTTCACAGAGATTTCGCCCCATGTTGTTGCTGGACCACTAATGGCTGGATAGGCGGATATGTAAGATCGTCCTAAATGGATCAGATCCATCTGGGCGTTTTTCCCTGTCAACTGACATTAAGAAAAATATGTCGGAATCTTTCACCAATACTCAACTGTACCTTGATTTTTGATGAATTGTTCTTTGAACCTAATGGCATTGGGTTTGGGGCACTTCAGCGCTCGTGGTGCACGTGCCGAGTTTTTGCGCCAAGCGAACGCGAAACTTGTGTTTAGGTTGTCAATTTAGCTCTAGGAATAAATTTTTAGCTCCATCGAAGTTTTCACCGTGGCATCGGCAAAGTGGGTTAACCATGGGTAGGTAATAGTGCCTTTGTGGTCACTGATGTCATTGGCACAGCCCACAATTAGAGCAGCACCTGTAGGAGCAAGAGGTTTCGTTGATATTGCTCCTTCGGGAATAATTGTGTATCCATGTCACGAATACTCAATACTCATTTTCAGCGCCGACGCCATTATAAAGCCGATCGAATTAGGCGCACGATGTGAGTCTAATCCCGGATCGAATCTTATCCAGGCCAAGTAACAACAAGCTTTCATCCCTCCGGATAATTGATACCCCGAATGACTGGTACCAGACTTGTTCAGGGATGACAAAACACTGGCTTGAACATCGGCCGGCTCCCCAAGCTAATGCACAAGCAGAGCCACATACATGCCGTACTCTACTGGATGGCTAAGAATGCATTGCAGAAGGAACAATTAAAGTCGAATGCTCATTAATGAAAACGACCCGGAAATTGACTCTGCTTATTGCTTATTTCAATTTTTCCAAGACCTGACGAAAGTGATAGAGCCTCCTCTCGTCGTGGTTGTTTATCTACCGGGTAGGCAAAAATTACGGCCACGAGAGCGCTCTCGAACTACTCCAACTCCTTGAAGCTTAGTAGATGCATTTGGTCGAGAGGACCTTTGAGAGAAACCATTGAACGTAAGGGATAAAGGATAAAGCATTTGCCGTTGATCAATCCCGTTTTTGGGATGCGGCACGCATTCTACTTCCATTTGTACATTCGTAGTGGCGTTTGAATGCGATGTGGCCTATACAATGACTTGCGGGGGCCAGCCGATGTACAAGTCAGTGTTTTTATCCTCCCAGACAAGTCTGGTACCAATTAACCGACCCCGGAGGGATGGAAGGCTTGGCCCGGGCGACTCACGACCCAGGATTTGATCCCCGGACCGCTCGCGTGGTAAGCAGCACCACTTGCTTCCGCCTTGAACCCCTCAACATGCTTTCAAAGGAAGATTGACCGCCTGCGTCCAACACGTAGATTGTGCGAATTTGTGCTACAGAACTTTCCCGAATCATGACATTGAACAAACAGCAGAGCAATTCTCCTAATTTCAATCGAATGTGTTATTCTGCGTGAAGTATACGGGTACCCGGTAGGAGGCCCGTCGCGCGGCAAGAAGGCAAAGTCAGCGGACGAGTCGCAGCGCGTACTGTAGTGATTTCGCGTCAAGTTGAATAGAGTGTGTCCATTGCACGTCCTACATCGCACAGCACGCGCTGCGACTCGTCCGCTGACTCTGCCTTCTTGCCGCGCGATGAGGCCTCCTGTCGGGGTACGGGGAAGTATGGGTACTGAAGACGATGTCCTGTTATAAACATCGTTGAAACATCGGTGAACTGAAGAAAAACCTGGGAACATCGTTAGCTTATCTAAGCAAAACTCACAGTGGGTTCCCCGTATGACACGGTTTTGGGGGGGAGGGGAGGGTGGGCAACCTTACACACATTTTAGTATTGCCCACTTGTGCCCCTCTTGGTTTTGAATAATCACTTTAATCTTGCTGCAGTGATTTCTGCCCACCCTGTATAAGCACATGTAGGAATACAACACGCTATATCCAAGAGTGAATTTAGAGTGCATCTAAAAATTTTATTTGAAAAATCGACACGAGATCAACACCAATATTGTCACATTGAAATGTACACCATATGCGGATAGATGGTGTGTGATTAATAAAAAGTAAGAGGGAACTATACAAAGAAAATTCCACTGGGAATTGACGATACGTTGTGACTTGTGAATGCATAACTACTAGTAGTACTAGATAAGAGAACGTTCAGGCACGAACTCAAATGGATGAATGTTAGTAAATCTATCTACAATCTCTCAATATATGCAAGCAAGAAAACAACCGGCTAGTTGGTGAAACAAAAATATAATTTACACGATGTCTCTCATAAAGGCCTATGCATCGCTAGTTGTATCATCAGCACCTACAATGACCAGCTTGTTCCTTGTCGCCGTCCTGCCGCGACGAGGTCTCACTGGCCTACCGTCGACCACGTCCACGACTTAAGCAGTACAATAGTCAGAACCGGAACATTATGATCTACCCAACTAGGTCAAACCTGTGAGAATTTTCGGATCGTCGTTAGCCTCTTGAGACCCGTCTACCTCTTTTTGCTTCCTTCGTCGGGGAGTAACGCCAGAACCGGGTCGTCGTCCACGTCTCTAAATTAATGCCACGTACGAGAACAGTATCAGGTAGGGTAGTATGAAACTTGACAATTTGGGAATCACATAAATTCCTTCGAGTGTATGAGTACCCCGGGCAAGAATGAGTTCTTTTCTTACCCAGAAATGAAGTGAGGATTGTAATTGAGTGAAAAACTGTGGGCGCTTTTCCCATCATCGGCAGTAAATCTTACTAAAGCAAAATTGATAAAACTTGAATACCCGTTTCGCAGGAAGCGGTGTTTTTGTAGTAGAGGCCGATTTTGACTCGTCCTTTTCCTGTTGCAGCGGTTTGTACACAAGCTCTTCAACATAGGATTCGATAGGCTCTGCTTTCAGTTCCCCAGGTTCTTAAATATTCCAGTATACTGAAGGAAGACATAAAAAGAAGCGATATATCTTAAATACAGTCAAAAACGCACGTAGTGGTGCTTCTATTGCATTCTTCAAGGGTATTTCATCTTCTTCAACAATTTCTGCTATATTTACAGTTGGGTTCTCTACTGGCAAGCATAAACGACCTTGGGCATCTGCCTGAATTCACATACGTTTTCTGAGTATTTGAAGAAGAGGAAGAGTGAATAAATTCCATACTCTTGCCAGAGATAGCGCGTGAAGATTCCTTGCCATGGTCAGCAGTGTTGTACCAGCCTAATTTCGTTATATTTGCATAAATATGTTGTAATTCATCATTTTACAAATAGAGAAGATAGTCAAATTCAGGGGTTATCCCTTTACAAGGATGTCTTTCATAAAGATTTATAACCAATGTATACCTATTCTGGATCAAGCAAATAAAGAGATCAAAGGAGGTGAGCGAAATCAGATTGAGGGTGCAGTTTGCTGGTGGAGAAAGTAACTTTTCGCTTTTCGCAAACTTTTTTCACTGCGGGAACACCAGGTCCACCACGATCAGTAGTGGACCTGGGGATCAGGCTGCAATAAAGCTTCGTGCTGCGAGAAGCGGAGAAGTCGTTTTCTACTCTAGCGAGCCGTATCCCGGATTGAACCGAGCGGGTTAAGATAAGCAACATGGGAAACTGTTCCGAATCTCGCAGTTGATTTTTACTAGACACCCTCTTAATAAAGTCAGACCAGTCCTCCTGACCTACACCTTCAACTCCTAAATATGATTAGGAACCTGATACAAGAGTTCGCGAATACAGCCCAGTCCTTTATCTGCGAGCAAACGAAAGAAGCTTCTTGTCACAATTGTTTTCGGCCCATGTAAAATTGTCGACATGCGAACATTATGCACGCTAACCATTGAATTACAGTCCCACTTGAAATCATGGATGGTTTTGAGCCAAGTAAGCATTATTCTGCACCTGAAGTCACGTACCTTTGGCCTCAGGAAACCCTCTTTGGACTGAAGGCCCAGCGTCACAAGCTTCCTCTGTCTTTCCATGCCTCAGCGTTGCAGTACTTTATGAAATCCGCTTATATGGTAAGTTGACGTACCCTGTGACCTTTCGACATAAAGGTTACCTTGGACTGCTTCTAATTTCAGCAAGCTGGCATCCAACCCTTAGTGTTATGTTCGTACTGCGAACTAACAGCCAGAACGCTGCCGGGGGAAATGGGGGATCGGAAGGGATATTTCGAATCAAATGAATACACAGCCGAATTTTGTATTTTGTGAAGAGTTAAAGACATTTGGGATAGAGGTGTTGAATTGATTGATCCCTGATTGACTCTAATCTGTT